CTCCAGTATGGAGACGTAAATGGACATTAAGGTTAGACTGCTGATGAAAACGTTTCCCGCACTGAACACACGGATATGGCTTTTCCCCGGTGTGGATCCTCTGGTGCGTAATAAGATGCGAAGGCCGATCAAAACCTTTCCCACACTCAGAACAGGAAAAATTCTTGTTCGACACTGTGATTTCTATAGGGGGCTTCCTACTAATAATTTTAATTACTTTTTCTGTTTCAGGAGCTGCATAAACATGTGTCCCTTCTGGCAATATTGCTCGGGGACCTTCTGATTTGATCTCAGATGGTCTGGAGAGCTTGGCAGCTGCTGTATGGGTTCGCTGGTGCTTCTTTAGGGAAGATTTGACACGGAAACTCTTCCCACAATCTTCACATTCATAAGGCTTCTCCCCTGTGTGTATCCTATAGTGCCCATGTAAATGTGATTTGATACTAAATCGTTTTCCGCAATCGGGACAGCCATATGGTTTCTCTCCACTATGAACTCTTAGGTGGACGTTTAGATTGGACTGCTGGTCAAAGCATTTCCCGCATTCAATACATGGATATGGCTTTTCTCCCGTGTGGATCCTCTGGTGTTTAATTAAGTTGGAACGGCGATCAAAACTTTTCCCACATTCAGAACAGGGATAGTGTCTTTTTGATACAATAGAACCTACTTGGGAGCTACTGCTGGGCATTTTCTCATCAGCCTGAGAAGCTCGTATCAGCTCCAGGAATAACCCCTGCCTTTTTCTGGATTTGACCTCCACTGGTTCAGAAATTTGGGGATCAAAGAACACATCCCACTGTGTTGGTTCCTGAAGTTGCTCTGCTCCAAACTCTTCCTGATGAATTTTTTTTCTGGTGGGCAGGTTTTCTGCAAGAACAAAGATAAACAAAGTTTTGAAGACAGAGACAAAAGAAGTACAGTCTTGGTTTCAATAGGAAGATCCTGGTAGTTAATCTGTGTAATGCAAAATTATCCTTGCCAGCAACATAATGACAACAAATGATATTGGCACAGACATTTTTTTTGGCAATCATTAAAAAAATAAGTAAGGTCTGCAGGAGCTGCCAACATATAAACGGAAATAACTTTTCCTAACTTGACTTTCCAGCTCACTCCAGACCAGTGGCCTTGGGTGCATGAAAGGTTGGTAACTACAGTTCAAAAATATCTAAGATACAAGAATGGGAAAGGATGGCCACTAATGGTTGAAAGGACCTCCCAAGAATTCTTAAGAGCATGTTCATTCATTTGTTTTTTTCTGGGAGGCAGACTTTCTGCAAGGAAATCAAAGATAATCTGTTTTGAAGACAGAGGCAAAAGAAGTAACAAGGGAGTGGCCAGCAAAGCCAGAAAAGGAAAAAAAATGTGGATTTGGTTTCAATACCAAACTTTGAATTATTCCTTAACATTCTTTAATTATGGGAAAAAATACCATTATTTGGGATTCAGGCCTGAAATGCGATATGACAGTTTGATTTCTAGGCCATTTAATTCACTATCAGTAGTCCTCAACCTATGACTGGTCCTAATGACAGTTCAAATTTATGACAGACTTCAAGAAAGGTAATAATGACCCATCCTCAAAGTTGCAACTGTTACACACACACACACATACTATTCTACCCCACAGTCACGATTGTATTTTGGCTGCTTTTCAACCGGGTTACATTTACAACAGCTTGCAGAGGCCCACAGTCAGGTTTCTAAACATTTGGCCTGAAATACTTGGCTAATTCAGTTAAACCACCATTCTTTCTTCACCTATTTTTAGTATGCCTTCTCATTTATTTATTTTGGAAAATGTATATAGCTGCCTACTCACTCACAGTGACTCTAGGCGGCTTACAGAAAATAAAAACACAATGTAGAAAGAATATAATAGAGAAAAATAAAATGATAATATAACCCCTCGCTCCCCCTCAGCGACAACACCCCCCCCCATATCAGCCATTTAATGGGCTCCATCCCACTGGCAAAATGGCATCTTCAGGGCCTTACAAAATGGCACCTTCAAGGCCTTACAAATGGCATCTTCAAGGCCTTACAAAAGTGTCAGAGTGTGGGGTCCAGTCTAATTTCTGAAGGAATAATATTCCAAAGGGAGGGAGCCTCATGGAGAAGGCCTTTCTTCTGGTCCCGCCAGATGTACCTCCTTAGGGGATGGGACCTGCAACATTCCTTGCCTCCCTGCTCGAGTGGGTTGGGTGGATGTGACCGGCAAGAGACGGTCCCTGAGATAACCTAGTCCCAAGCCATGAAGGGAACTATCAAAAATGAACAGTACAGTACAAAAATACCTCACTTCAGCTGACATTCTAGATTCAGAGATAATAACAAGGATGGAAAATAGGTGGGAAAAATGAATTGCGGTGGCACTGGAATATTTTCAAGAACACTGGGAAATTGCTCGGCTACCCCCCAGGAATGCCAAATAGGCATGGCCTGCAGGAAAACTGAATGTTCTGCATTTCTTGGAATATTCGGTTCCAGAAGGCTTATGTTTTGCTCATTCAAAATGAACCCAGATCTGTCTTAACAGTGTCATCTGTCCTCTTTCTTCCCACTGTCATCTTCCCAGGTGGCTTCAAAAACTCAAAACCCCTAACCCTAACAGCTCACCTGGAGAAGAATCCCTCAGATGACTCCTTTTCTCAGACTCCTGAATCATCCCATCTCTTCCGATCTGGAAGATCATGTCAGATTCACCATTACGGAGGCAGTCATATGGATATTGGGGTGGCAATTCTAAAATAAGGAAAAAAGT